TCGATACCAAATGTCAATATGAAATGTTTTAATTTAATTTAATTTATTTATTTAAATTTTATGTAATTGGTATATATTTTTAAATACAAGGTAACCAAAAAAGTTCTGTCCGTTTTTAAAGGAAAAAAAAGAAAACGCTTCACAGTATGTGTAATATTTAGTCTTCGAAGTAATCGCCATCGGCATCCAGCACCTTCTGCCAACGTGTCTCCAGCTGTTCAATGCCCTTGCGGTAGAACTCGGGGGGTTTTGACGCAAAGAAATCCGTGAGGGCTTTGCGCAAGTCTGCTTCATTGGTGAAGGATTTCCCACGAAGATGATTATCCAGGGAGTGGAAGAGGTGGTAATCGGATGGCGCAAGGTCAGAGGAATAAGGTGGATGGCAAAAAGTCTCCCACCCAAGTTGCTGTATGGTATCCCTGACCACTCGCGCGACATGCGGCCTGACGTTGTCATGGAGGAAAAGCACACGTTTACGATTCACCAGTGCTGGATCCTTCTGGCGCAATGCCTGTTGCACACGTTTCAATTGCTGCGAGTATAGGTCTCCAGTGACCGTTTGGCTCGTTGGTAGCAGTTCATAATGAACCATTTGACGACCTGTCCACCAGACACAAAGCATAATCTTGCGTGGGGCGGTCTTGCGGTGTGAGGAACAGCATTCTGAGGAGACAACCAATGTCTGGAACGCTTGGGAGTTTCATACAAAACCCACTTTTCATCACTGGTAAGCACTCGATTGAATAAGGATGCGGTACGGTGGCGAGAAAGCAGCGGTACGGTGGCGAGAAAGCAGCGATACGTAGGCTGCCACTCGTTGTCCCTTGTGGACCTCCAACAGCGTTTGCGGAACCCACTTGCTCAGTTTGTACGTCTTACCTAGGCGGTGCAGGTGAAGTCTAACTGTTTCATCAGAAACGTTGAACTGTCTTGCAAGTTCACCACACGTTAGACTACTGTCCTCTTCAATGGCCGCCTTCAGGACTCCGTCATTCAAGACCTGTGGTCGTCCACTGCGAGGCTCATCATGGAGAGACAAATCTCCCGACTTGAATTTTCGAAACCAACGCCTTGCAGTACGTTCATCCACAGCACTATCTCCAAACGCTTGACATATGCGGCGACTTGATGCAACTGCTGATAAGCCCACTTTGAAGTCGTAAATCAAACAGCCCCGAACGAGATCTCTAGATACTTCCAGCCTTCTAACAGCTGTCCGGCTTATAACTGTTGGCCGGGCACGGTGCGCGTGTTTTTTTACAACGTCTGATGTTCCTACTTCCGGCTGTCCGAATTTGAAAACAATTGCTACACGCATTTCGTATATATTTCAACTTCATTCAATGACTAATCAAAAAACGGACAGAACTTTTTGGTTACCTTGTAGTTTATTGCACAATTTACGCATAAATAAAGATAGTTTAAAAACACAATAGAGAATTGTATTCCACTATATTAAGAACAATCCTTTGTGTTCACGAGATGATTGTACGAATCTGCCTATTATTGTTTCTGCATCCAATTCATTGAACAATTCCTTTTCAATGGTTATCAATATCCCAATTTCTCCTCAGGCAGCGAATTTCCTAAGCTTGTGTTTATCATCTTTAACATTGAAAATGTCCTTTCATATTCGACTTGAGTAACTGATAGTGTGCGGATGACTTTATAAAGTTTTTAGTCATTTTTATTACTGAAACAGTTGTCTGACACTCTGGCCAGTCTGCTATTGGTTCGCGTTCCACTGTCCATGTCTGCTGCTCAGGTATGCGCGCTATTTTCGATTGAGCCAGAGTCGATCCAGAGATTGATCTCACAATTACTATGCCACCAAATTCAGGATCCAACGCTTCAATCCATTAAACCTACTGTTCTTATTGCCTACCTGCAGCTGCTTCTGTTGCTGCTGTTACGTTTAAGCTTCTTCACCGCCGTTTCGCTTTTCTTACTGCTGCTACTGTTACTGCTTGAAGCCTTGCTGTGAAGCTTGATTTTTTCAGTCTTCTTTTCTCTTTCTTTTTATGTTAATGGATCCCATATGTTATTACGTTTTATGCCATCATAATTCAGCATATACGCTGATTTTATCGGACGTCTTGTTTAAGTCTCCAAATTTTTTGGTTCAGGATTGTCCCATGGTACAATAACCTAGTAGATTAAAGCGTTAGTCCATGAATTTGATGATATAGTAAATTCGAGTTCAATCCCTGGGCCGGCTAGTGCAGACTCAAATTCAATGAAAACAGCCAGTGAGTAGTACTAAAGAAAGCAACAAGACGAGATATTTTTTAGATATATACAATAGAACCAGAACAACCTACGTACGCAGATTTAACAAATGTTTCATTTCGAAATCGGGATGCACAACGGCCGAAACGTTGGCATAATAAAAACAAGGAAGAAGATATTAGTCCGAATTTAAATAAAATTTAATTATGCTTAATTATCTTCCAATTTTGTTTTATTTTTATTTTTTAAATTTTAGAAAATGTTATTTAATAAACTGATACAATTCTAATTGCTTTTTTCTTTAATACACGCTGTATTTACTCTTAAGATATTTAAATGTATGGCTAAAATATTCTATTAAAAGATTTTCTACCGAATGTTCAGTGATGTGAAAATAATGAATATTTTGTAGAACGTCTGTTGTTAGTTATCAGACCCAAATGATGAAAAGAACTAGCATTTTTATCGAAACTACGTAAATCTGGAAACGAATTTAAGTGTAGAAGGCCTTACATTTGTCAGAGGAGTTTTTTCAGAAGTTTAAATGATAACTGTTCTTTTGCTATAAATAATTAATGCTGTTCATTTTTCACATTGAAGTCAGAATTGGTTCTATTCAATAAACGTGAGGAGTATCCATTATTTTACAAAGACCATCATAGAGACGCTTTTCTATGTTAAGTTCATATTTGCAAATAATATAAAAAGGTAGTGTAAGGGATACGGTCATCTGATATTCTGATCTTATGTTTTGTCTATATTAAGCGCTATTTTAATAAGTTGTTCGATAGTGGATGTATTTGAAAAGCGAGATTGTATCGGGAACCTTGTCTTCCTAAATGAATCACAAAATCTTTTAAAAAGATGTTAAGTGTAATTAAACTTCTTCAATGTTAAGGAGGATAGATAAGACAACAAAACAGTTTATTTTTCAGTCCGATTTTATCATCTCCAAAGATGTACAATGCCTATGAAGGTTACAAAACACAGAATGCAAGGCTATCCGATTCAAAAATTTAAACTATATTTGCCTAAAGGCCCTTAATTTCGATATGAAGTCACTTTTCATTCATCGAATTTATATCATAATTATTTGTTATTTATTACTCTGTAATTAGTACAAATTATTTGCCTTTAAAATTTCAAGTTACTTTTACTTGTTGTAATTCTTAATAAGTAAAGAATTTGTATTAAAGGATATTTGAATATTTATACTTACAGTAAAAATGAAAAAAGTTTTTGTAATAAACTGTGAAAATGTTCGTGATAGGAGAAGAAAAAATAAATGAAGTGATTAAAAATAGTCGCATAAAATAATGATACTTAGAAATTATATTACGTTTATCTTGTAAAAGAAAATATATTTCTGTTTTCTGTATAGAAATATGTAAAACATATTTGTAAAAAATAAAGCTATCAGTATATCATAGGTATCATTATTTTATGCAGCAATTAGCAATCAATTCCTTTCTTTAATTCTTTCAATGTTTTTATGATTTTCATTTCGTCTTTTGCTTTTCAAAAATCCGATCATTATCACCGGGGTGAGTGCGAACATACACTTTATGTTAGTATCATTACGTTACAAATTGAACTCGAAACAGCTTCTTTCTTCAAGTTAGAGTTTTTTTTAAAGGTATTGCCTTAACAAAAAATCTCGCTACGATGTGATATTTTTTCTTTATGGTAACAAAGACCCACACCCACAGACAGAAATCGAATCATAAAATGAAATGAAAGAAAATTGGAGACAATTTCTTAATATGTATCTAGATTAACAATGATTTCGCCTAAATAACGACAACTAGGCGACGTAGCACATAGTCAACGAGACCCTATAGTCATTCTGTAAGTATATCGATTCTCTGGTTGCCTATTCAGTTATGCTTGATAGGTATAGCTGCAAGTAATTTAATGAGATCTGCAACATGTCTTATACATACTCGATGGTTTTTAAATCTGGTGCAAAAGGTCAGCCACAATCTTTATGCATGATACACATATCAAGAGAGACTCTTGTTTCATTAGTGGGTCTTGTGAACAGAACCATCAAAAGCTTGTAAAATATTCTGCTGACAGACTGTATTCATAGCTCCCTGTGGTCTCCTTTACACAGACGCTCGTTCGGCTGAAATTGACTTGTCTGAACAGGTGACGAAGTTTGTCTTTCACGGCTCAAAGGCAGTAGGCTCTGGTGAGGCGTAGCAACCGATTCTCTCGTGTTAAGAATATCACCACCTTTGGCTGAGGAATATGAACCCACAGGAATGCAGTTTACGCTGTTCAGTTGCCTTAGCTTTCTACCAACAAAAATAATTCTGCAGTGAAATAATGCGAAATCATGAACCAGACTGGAGTTGATAGCTTGAATTTAGAATTATTCTTATCTTACTTGTTTCCCTGACAACCATAGTCTTCAAAAAATTAAATGTAATGTCAATCGACATCTTTTGATGTCTTGATCCACGTTCTTCTTTTTATCCTTTCCTCAATCCTCCTTATGCTCAGTTTTCCCTTACTCGCGTACTAGTAGCACCACCGCCTTGTTTAATATATATATATATATATATATATATATATATATATATATATATATATATATATGTGTGTGTATATATATATATATATATATATATATATATATATATATGTATATAATTTAGGGAGACTTTCTGGCAATATGAACGAAACCAATTATAATTATAATTGAAGGACATTTCACTTTGCACGTCTCATTTGCAGGTCGATTTCTGTGTGATCAGTCGCAACAGATGATTGTCTTTCAGTACACATGGGATGCAGCCAACACCCGACACTTTGGTTACCAAGGAGATGATAACAGCGAACAAATGAATCGGACTGGTGTTTACGATATTTACGTAGTCGGGAAAAGGACAACATGCAGTAAGCAAGCTGGTATGGCGAGGGGCAGCGGCTCAAAACACGATCCATATACCTTGCTCATTTACGTTGGCAAAAAGAAAAACGTTACCGACAAACAAAACTGCTATATTGAGGTGAGCTTGAATCGTTGGAATCGTATATACTGTATTTTTTTAAAATTATTGTAGATTAAGTTCTATAACGTTAAAACTAACATGGATATGGTGGAATATTCCAAATGCTCTAGCATACATTTTTATTCTTCATTTGTATTCGCCTTCATTAAAAAAGCATGATTAAAGCTATAAAAACCTTCTTGAATCCCGTTCATCTTTTGTCCTTTCCTCAATTCTTTCTCTTAGATCCAATATGCATCCGAGGAAGGTAAGAGAGGACACTGACGGAAACATTGTGACGATAAGAAGCTAAAAATCATTTCCACCATTATCTTCTACGGAGTCGAGTAACTTTCATTTCCTCCGTGTTCCAAATCCGAGAAGAAAGTTCCACGCAGAATATTTTTTGCCAAGAACTATCCATTTGTGGAACAAACACCCGCGTGGTTATTTCCTTGAACACTATAATTCAAAGTTGATCCTTATCCTCGTAATCTTGACTTACCCTGTTCTCTTCCACTCATATCTCACACCTCATTCATCGTTAATAATTAATCTTTAACCGTCTACCTTGAGTAGCCATCGAGCCTTGTCTTAGGTGAAATTTAGTAAAGAAAGAACAAAACAAAACTTATCTCCGAATTTCATGCAAAAAACACGCTGTTTTAATGGCAGTAGCGATATTAAAATATCTAGCCTAAATGGTCGAATCGGAAGTTGATTATAGATGAAACCAAATTTTTAACGTTAAATGTTAGAATGGTAACGATCTCTTTCTATATGGGCATGGTCGATTTGTCAAGGAGGTGATTTCTTGATAATATCAGTCTGGGATGGGGGACTATCTCAACGTGCTGCACCGTTGGGAATTGCCTTAATATCATACCATGTTGACCCAAATTTAGAGTGAAATAGGGTAGGTAAAAGCGCCTGGAAGCCGTCGATGATAGTGATAGCACAAAGTCATTATTCATCGTGACCGAGAGTTTGAATGTACTGGCCTCGTTCAACTACTGATCACACCGGACTGCGCGTTTTCTACCAGTAGCAGTAAATAAGTTTCGCTCTGCATAGCTGAATATATGTTTGTTTAGTGGCATATCAACTCCTTATGGGTCAGTTAATGCTGAAATTTAATTTTCTTTGAAGCATTAGTAATTTCTTTTACAAAAATGTATTTCTGGTAATTTTTCAAGCATGAAAATGTATTGCTGATATTTTTGGCATAAAAGTGTATATTTATACTTTCATACTCCAGTTTTGGGGTTAACTATTTGTCCATAGCTGTGACTCTGACAGTTGATACCCCTCTGTGTCAGGTTGGACCTGGGAACAATAGTAATTAAGAGGTGGTTTTACGCTCCTTAAAACCTCACGCTTAGAGGCTTTGCTGTTGGATATATTTTATCGTTTAGTTGCGGTATAAACCACTGTTTGGCCCTGTGGGTGCTGAAAAAACATGTGTGCTTGAGCAGGCATCTGAAACATGGATTAGCTAACAACCATAAAAATACTGGCATATTCAGAAACAAGAAGCCAGTAATTACATAATTACTTGTTTGTACTTTATTTTTCTGGTTACAAAACAAAAAAAATCTAAGACAAAAGATTGGGATGAAGAGTTGTGAGTTGTGAGGTTAGAGGACGCTTTAAAACGAAATCAAAATTCGTTTTAGAATTTGTAAGAATTACCGAATGTCACATATTTCCAACAATGATTTCCTAGTCAAAATATGTATCAATAACACTAATAAGTTTAGTGCAAATAAACATCTTTTAGTAAAAAATAACGACAATGTGTCATTCGGTACGAAATAGCAATTATTTGTAATTTACGTTGATGTTAACATTTTCCTTGAGATAGCTATATGATCAATTTTTATTTTTTCATTTTCCTTCTTCTGTGCTATTTGTTTATGCCAAAAGACACATTTCTAATTACATGGAAGACGTCAGACATTATATTTGGTTGGTTTCTTCGTGGAAAATGCCGGAAATCAAAGTGTCACATGAACTGAGTTTGTATTTGAACTAATAAGTTAAGAGTTGAGTTGTATTAAGTATGGCAACCAGTTCCTGATAAGGAGAGAAGAAAATATATATAAAAAAAGGACGAGATAATTTCTAACAAGCATTACTTTACATGTACAATTGCGTCTGCATATTTTGATTAAAAGCTTCTCTTTCTCTTCATCTAATATATTTTCGTTGTCTTCAATTTTTGTGCGCCACTTAAAATATACTATTAATGAACATGATTATACGAGCGATAAATTAAAACCATTACTTTATTAAATAAAATCAGCAAATTTATTTTGAGCTATCATAATAAAACTGAATGTTGAAATAATACTAAGAAAACCCGGCCGTTGTAGCAAAGGCCGAATTTCTACTAGTACAGAATAGAATCACTCTCAAATTTCAACTGTGGTCAGTGGAGATGCTCATATCAATAACAAATATAAAATAAACTTTATTATGGCTGCTTATAATTAAAATATGTTATTTTAACAAGTGATAATATGATTAGTAAGAATAATATCTTTACGAGCATTAGTCATAGTTTAATATATTTTCGTTTGGTTCAATATGGTGAATGTACAGCAAAATGGGTACTAAATTTAGAAAACAAACTATATTTTAATGAAAAAATCTAACAATACCTACAACAGACAAATAACCTGGATTTATACATTATGACAAACCCGTTCTAATAATATGTGCGCACTTAACACAGCAATAGAAACACTCAACACAACCGAATATTTTGAAGCAGAGGAAACAGCTTCTTAAAATGATTTCGAGATTAAAATAAATATGAACCTTTAATATTCTGACGATAAAACAAATCTGAGCAGTTTAATCAGCAATTTCATAAATGTTACTACACATGATAGTAAAATCGTTGAGATTTTAAAGAAATTAAGACAAAATTCTAATAGTTACAACACACCTTCAAGCGCATTAAAACCAAATTAATGAATGTTCCATAAATTATTTGGATTAATATTATCATATTTTTTGTTTTGATTAAAACGTTTTAATCGGTTCGCTCTCTGATCTTTAGCGGCCGAAACTTTGTGAGTGAAATAAATGAATTCAATAGTCCAAATAATTTATGGCCCAGTAACAATTCATCTTTATTTCATAATTTAATATAATAATAATTACATAAATACTTTCGTTTATAATGAGCCGAAATCATATTTAAAAACTTTTCTGAACATGATATAAATATATTTCGCTGTATGGACGTATTCGTTATTTTTCAAAATATTAAAATAGTTCAGAAATTACAGATCTTTATTACTCATGCGCATGTGCACGAACATGCGCATTCATACACATTTATTAGTTGAATCATTAATTTTTGGATGTTGCCATGGTCTTTCTATTAAAAATACAACATAATGAGATTGGCTGTGCAAAGTTAAATTCGTTTATTCATGCTGGTTATTGACTGCTTTCTACTGTTTTTTTTTAATTAATTTCAGATAAAACTGATTTCGATGATTGCATGTAACTCTTTGATCTGTTTAATAATTTAATGATTCATTAAATGTTGCTTTTGTCATGAAGCCATCAGCCAGTGGCATGTACAGTATCCAAGTGTCTGTACAGAAATTACCATATTTGCTGACAGCTGAAGATCGTGTGTTCAGCCTGTTTTGTGATTTCAGGCACTTATCCAAACAATCGACTATTGGACTGGATACTGTTCATATCATGGGGTGAGTTCCAGCTTTTTATTTTTAACCAGAAAATAAATATCTTCTATAAATAACTTAAAAAAAAAATAGAGATAATTATTATTACGGTATGAATTATGAAAGTAACGGAATTGATTTTATTAAGAAATGTTCATTTTGTAAATGTATGCAATCTGAAGATGAACGAGACGTTTTTATGAGTTCTTAGATAACTTTGGCACAAGGCCACATTCTTGAAGTGTAAAAGATTAGAATGTTAACCATAAGACACCATGTTTTATAAGTTTCTTTTATCTGTCATAACCCTTCAGGACGTGAAAGATCATGGTTTTCCACAATTTCCTATCCTTTGTAGCTCTTAACAATGTTTGTTACCTTACTATTCCTCCCAGTGTCAAATTCTCCGTGCTCACTTTTCTGATTATGTGCTCCAGAAGATTCAACTGTTTCTTTCTAATTCTATGTTCAAGTGTTCTTTCGTTCCCATTTTCTTCATTGCTCACATGTTATGTCCATAGCATTCAAAGCATCCTACTGTAGAACTATATCTCCGTTGTCTCTAGACTCTTCTTCATCTTTGAGGAAATTGTATAACATTCACTGATATTCAGAAGGGTTGACATTATATTGCAGTTCAGTATCTTTGCCTAACAAAAAATTCCCGTTTCCTAATAATGTGTTTAGTTTTTGTAAGGCATCTTTCACTATTCCGCCTTCGGATTTCCGTGACACATTTTCTGTCGCCTGTTAAAACACTTAATTTGTAGCTGAGGTAGTTTCGTATTTTTGTTAGTTGCATTAGTGACTCTGTACCAGGCTAACATCAGATTAGAACATCTATCATAGATGGGCATCCGTATTTCCATATAGTAAGCACTCACTTGACATTTTAAATAATATCTGCAGTAATTTCTGAAAAAAATTACGAAACCGAGCACAGAAATGGAACACCTAGTAAAAAACACGTTTACTAACAATGACTTGTGAGATTATATATTTAATCGGTTAAGCCAACTTTGGCAAATGTTTCATGCGAACTACGCTTCCATAATATATGCTTAAATAATATGAGTTGAGGTTTAGTAATTAGTTGGTAGATAAATAGGTAGGGATATATATATATATATATATATATATATATATATATATATATATATATATATATATATATTGATAGATAGATAGATAGATAGATAGATAGATAAGAGAGAGAGAGAGAGAGAGAGAGAGAGAGAGAGAGACCGAGCAAGAATACAATGTGATTGATTCTAGTAAAGTACCAATGAAAAGAGATATAATACACTGAGTAACAAAAATTCTTACCTTAGTAAAACAAGTTAGCTTCATAAAATAACGCTAGTAAGCTAGCTAGTACTGTTGATTTATGTCCCGAAAAAGAACGCCTACTCTAGAGTGATGATTAAAAGGTTAAACACAAAAACAAAAAAACAACAACTAATAAATACATAAATCGTATTATTATTTCGCTAGGAACAGCCTAATATGCAAATTACAAATTGGAGATACTAAAATCAAGCAAGTAAAACAATTTAAATATCTGTGCAGTGTGTTAACAGATGAAAGAAAGTGCGACGTTAAGCTCTGAAGGTGTATTGGGAATATATATATATATATATATATATATATATATATATATATATATATATATATATAAAAACATTAAACATAAAAATGTCTTAATATATATATATATATATATATATATATATATGTGAACAATGTATATATATGTAAACAATGTATATATGTATATATATAATGTAAACAAATGAGTCACACATTATGAAATGTTTACATTTGATACGCCATGAGCAGACATGAATGTACGTGAGAGATTCATGGAAGATTGAAGTTTAAATACATATATACATACATATATATATATATATATATATATATATATATATATATATATATATATATATATTGTGATGCCTTTCAAAAGTTAGGCAGAGTTTTAAGAAACAGAGAAAAGAGTACTGAACTGTTATGTGGTATATGTCCCCCTATCTGGCAGTGAATGCTGAACAATCTTCTCAAAGATAAAGAAGTGACTTGAACCAACAGATACGTGATACTATACAAGGATGCTAAGAATACTATGGACCCAACATGAATCTGAGCGGCTACGAAAGCTGATATTATTATGGATGTTGAAGAATCCTCATTCATTTTCAGAAAATGCTATATGTCACGATACTTATATATATATATATATATATATATATATATATATATATATATATATATATATTAGCAAATAGTCAATTCGCAGTGGGATTCTCATCATAGTTCAATGGTACTTTTGAGTTGTCATTTACTAAGCTTAGCTCAGTTCGTATTAACAAAGAAAAAGAGAAGCGGCGAGTCTTGTTGGGAAAAAAGAACATTCTAATGCAATTAACATGGCATAAATGTTAAAAACTAAAAAAAAAAAAAAATTAAAGATCATAAAACTTCAAAATGAGAGAATTTTTTTTACCGTCTTCATCATGTCATCACGTAAAGTCAATGTCTTTCTGATTTCTTGTTGAGATGTGTCCAAATATGCAAAAGCTTGGCTAAATTGAAGTGCTGCAAAAATAAAAAATATTTTCCCAATTAAGGATTTAAATAAAATTACTTCCCTTCCTAAAATTGTATTTCTTTTAAATGTGTGACTCACTTGCCCTGCAAACAATGTTATATTTAGGCACTACGGCTAGAATCTGGAGTATGTAGAAGTTTACTTGGATGATAATATATTGTTATGATAGGTATTCTCTCTGACAGATGTAGCCTTGTAAAAAGAAGATAATTCTCCCGTACGTATGGCGATACTGCCTTTTATACTGTATCTAATTTACATATCACTACACATATATGTCTAGCTTTGAGAGAATTTGATATAGTTTATGCAGTCTTGTGAGGAATGATTCTCTATTCCGCGGTCTGCTTCCCACAGACACAATATCATTTTCGCTGTTGTTATTTCCAGGTAAATGTTCAGATAAACTCTATTCTTTAGTTTCACCAGTTCAGACCTTTACAACTAGTATATACCATATCACTCCCACAGAGTCGAATCATTTTCATTTCCTCCATATTCCAAATTTAAGGAGAAATCTCTACTCAGTTTTTATTTGATACTCTGGGAATAATGTTCAACTTGACTAGCTCGTTAAACTTTATCCGGCGCTGAGAAACATGTGGCTTTGAGTTGCAGGAAATCTGAGAATTTTTATTCTTCAAATCCGACTTTCTCTTTTCCAATATTGTAAGTGAACGAATTTTTATGGAACAATCGTTCACTTACTATATTAGAAAAGAGAGAGTCCAATGTTTTATTTTTATATCCATCGAATCATGTAAACAACAGCAGAAATATAAACTATTTCATTCACTTCCTATTTGACCGATGTTGTTAAAAGGAACATTAACAATCGAAGATGAGAACTAAGAATTGGAAATGTCGAATTTAAACAAGCATTAAATGTCAAATATCTGTTTTCTAACATGCGATACCGAAAATACGAAGGCTCATTGGAATAAGGAAAGATGCCATCCAAAAGCTAGGCCCAAATATTAAGAAACAGTAAAATTTCGTTAACAACAACAAAAAAGAATAATGAACTGTTATATAATCAAACGAGTACAAGAATGTACCTAGGAATTGTTTTAACAGAGGACAGAAAATACGATAACGATATTAGGAGACGCATTGAAATAGAGAAAGGTGTGTTCCAAAATATAAAGAAGGTATTAAGAAACAGGAAAGTTTCATTAAAAACAAAGAAAAGAGTGCTGAACTGTTGTGTAATATCAGTCCGCCTATAATGGCAGTGAATGCTGGACAATCTCCTTATACTTAACATCAGGAAGAGATAGTTGAAAAAGAGACTTGAAGAAAGAGAAATGTGGATCTACAAAAGGATACTGAGAATACTATGGATTGAATATTCGAATAAAGACGCTTATACTTAAAAGCAGAAAGAGATAATTGAAATTTCGAGGACATATAATGAGTAAAGAGGGTTGGAAAATCTGACACTCACAGGACATATTGAAGGTAAGAGGCACAGAGAAAAGTAGCGAGTAATCTATCTAATGAGCTTGTGTAATGGTTGGCAGAAAAGGGATTGGGAGAAATAACGAAAACACAAACCTTACTAAGAGCTGCAAGGGACAGGAAATTGTGGAGAGTCATGATCATCTACCTGCTGAGTTTGTGTAAATGGTTGTCAGTACAGAGATTAGGAGAGATAACGAAAAGACAAACCTAAGAGCTACAAAGGATAGGAAGTTGTGGAGAGTCATGATTGCCCACGTCTGGAAAGGGTATGACACACAGAAGTGTTAAAATCATATTGTCTAATAGACCAATCGTCAAGTAATGTTACAGTTAGTATGTTGTTTCTATTAATCTAGATTCTACGTCATACAAAGTTAAATGGTGGGATATTTGAAACATTTATCTGCATCGATACACATAGAATCGTTCCATCTTCATCTTTATGGACAAGAGTTTTTGGTTAGCCGATAAATTACATTTTTTATATTATTAACATTCGGACTAATATCTTCATCTTTGTGGTTATATTCCTAATATTTAGTCCTTTGTGACCTCCAAGTTTCTTCAACTCCACCCGGGTAATCGTCAGGGAAATTTGAAGTATCCCTTTTCTTGTTCTCTTTCGGTTCTGAGTGTCAACTATAATCTATGTGGGTAGACTATTCTTGTTCCGCTGTGTTACTTTACTCAGTTATTGCTCGCCTTGTTTTTATTGAATCTGAGTTAGTAGTACCTGGCCCAAAATTTGAATTCGATGTTACTAGTGTCAATAGCCCAATGGATTAAAGTATTAGTTAGTGAATTTGGTGGCATGGCAAATGTGAGTTCAATTCCTGGGCTGGTTAGTACAGTGGAAACAGGGCGAGCGATAATGGAATCAAAAAAGGAACAAGACAAGGTGTTCCTAGAAATGGATCAGCAGACACTCAAAGAATGCTGGGGAGCAATGCATTTGATTTTTTTTTTTGCAAAATTAATCCATTAAGATTAATTCAAGTGTAAATATCTGATAAACTTGGGACAAATCTTGTGCCTGATTAGGTTTTTGATGTTAGTAATTTTCTAATATGAAAGTAAATATTTATATTTATATTCTGTCAGTCTTATAAATTTAACTAAACGTTCGTGATAACGCGCTTGAATCTCAAGGGGCTAGAATGCAGTGAGTGCAGAGGTCAAAGGAGTACGGCCCCAGGAAGACAAGGTCGCAAAAACAGGATATGTGGTGGGAAGTGACACATACGTTCCTATAATAAGATTCGATAACATTTTCGAACACAAGAGACACCTGCGGGCTACCGTAGCGTACACAGATGAAACATTAAAACAAATAGAGATAATATTGTGGAAATCAGTTTAAAAAAAAATCAAATAAAATTATTAAAGCCTAACAATACATATTCTTCTATATTTATCGCAAGGCTGTCTACATTCATGTATCGAAAATAATGTTTTTATTCAATTTAGAAGTCAAATTTAGCAGCCTTTCTCTGATTGTTTTTACTTATTGCTGTTATCCTTTTGTTTTTTCGTATTATTTGTGTCTCTATCTCATTCAAAAGAAATATAATTTCTATTGTTTTCTTAGCAAACCACCGACAGATAATCCTGAAATGGAAACATCACAGGGTAGATTATTTATTCCGGGACTGTACTCAAGTGACACGCCGAAGAATCTACCCTTAGGAAAAAATATACGTCTTCAAGCAGAGGTTACTGATTCCGGTGAGTACATCTTATTGTAAACATATCGTTCAAAATATTCATTATTTCATGACCTTCATGACTGAGAAATTTTTTTTCTAAACATAATGGTTGATTTAAAGAAACTGAGTTTCTGAATAATAGTGAGGCTTTTGGGGTCCCCACTTTTTTTTCCAAATAAAGATTTAATATAAATTTTATTGTCTTCAGTGCAACAACAAGATCTGAGGTAATTTTGTCGTGTACCTTTACAATTTAAGAATAGCGCGCGAAATGTGTTGTAATCATAAAGAAAAGAAACAAAAAAATCATATGACTTGCAGTTGTTTTAAAATGTGGCTTCTATATTTCAGGGATTTGACAAAACAGAATTATTGCTAATTTTCAACAACTTTACGAAATGGATTTGTGACATTATTTTTGACTTAATACTTTTCAACTTTTCTCTGACATCGTCACTCTACCTCCCAACGTTACGTGATAATTTTATCGAAAGTTACGTCGCTATAAGGAAACAGATATTACACTTTGATCCTAAATAAAATGGCCAATAGGACTATAAAACACTGATAATTCTTTCAAAATATACATCGAAATAGGCAAAATTTAAATCAATTTACCTATGAATTGATATCAAAGTGAAAATTGAGATTTGTGGTGAGTACATTGTCATAATATTGGGTCTTATTGCTGGTAAGGCAACTCGCATTACTTCGTCAACCGTTTTCAAAATTTCTCTTTTCTTTTTCTTAATGTTAGTCAAAACAAAGAAGACAGAGTCACACAAATAGATTGATGAGAACTGAATCGGGATTATGAAAGCTTTTTTGGCTATTGTTAGGTATGGCATTGAAATTTCTGTCGAAAAACAGTCTAATTCTATTTCTGAATATTGGAATATCGATCATTCCTCAGTTCGAAGATTTCTTCTTTCTTTCCTAGATTTTATTTACGTCATACACCTCAGACATTATGAATGGTTTAATAACCCAGTTTTGTCGTTCAATGTTCGAATCCGGAAAATAGTTATCAATTTTTTCCTTCATTAATTTCAAATGATCAGAATATCTTTGGTATATGAACATTTGCTCTACGGCATTTATTTCGAGAAACATACTGCACCTCGTTTAACCAAAACTGTGTCTGTTCTTTGAAAGCGCGAAGCTTATCAGTGGATGCCAAAATAGTTTTCTTCTTTTGCATGTTGTTAGAATTTATTTAGAATTTCAAATATGTCAAATAGATAAGGCACTTCTAAGCACCAGACTTCATCATGTAACATTTCATACAATTTTGTGTTATCTTCACAAGCAGGCATTTCGTCTTTCAGTTCATGGATACAATTTCAGTAGAATAAAAGAGCTTCATATATATAGTAATTCATTGAGTCTATAAAAATCCTTAACAGAATGCAGACAGCACTTGACAGCCGTTTCGTCCTATTTTTGGGACTCATCAGCAGTGTGCATCCACTATCGAGATTCGAACCCGTATCGTTTCGATACATCGCAAGCGTCATACCAACTGTACCAACGGTGAGGAAGAAAAAACTGAATCTCGGTAGTGCATGCGCACTGATGAGGCGTTTTTCTTATTTTCTATGTTTTTATTTTTTATGCTCTTTTTGATGATGTAATTAGTTTATGCGCTAGTTGGGATGCACTTATTATTGGTGTTAAGTTGATTTTTTTCTCTTTTGTCTGCGTGAGTGTGTATGTGAGTTTGTATACGTGTGTATATGCATGCGTCTGTGTGCATGTGTCAAATGTCATGATTATGTCATTTTTGTCTCTTTATACTCTCTTCCTATCCCTTTTCTTTCTTTTTCTCTTTCAGTTCTGAGTGTCAAATATAATGTAAAAATGTCATTTCAGGTATCACACACAGGACCTGTTTTTATTTATTTTATTTTATTTTATTTTAGGGCAATTCGTTTACTCGAGTACTGTTGGGTTTTCTTAAGTTAGAGTTATTTTGGAAATATAGATATATTTCTTGTTTAATTAGATTTCTAATTACCTGGGTTGTTGATGGTATCTTAAGTATAGTGTTTTAAATATTGAAGGTTATATTTAGAACTGTATGTTTTTGTTATTTCATTTATATATATATATATATATATATATATATATATATATATATATATATATATATATATATATCCACTGATGTTTAGTAGGGATAATTAATTCCAAGGAGGACATGAATTCAAAGAGAGCTCAATCTAAGAACAGAGCAATAATATAATAAGGAATAAGGAATTCTTAAAAATCTATTAGGCGATAATAATTTACTTCATGGGCTATTGCCCAATCATTCAGGCCAAAATTACATTGAGAAATGGAATTTAATTCATCCAGGCACAAGGAAAAAGAAAGACGAGACAAAAAAGAAAAAAGTGAGATCGGAATAAGTTTTAAAGGGAGAAAAAAAGAAACAGGAGAGAAAGACAGACATTTCAATATAAGGTTTATTGGGAGAAGAGAATGGGAGATAGACATAGGGAGGAGCGAGAGAGTGA